ACGAGACCCCGGCTGCTGTTTTCCTCTACGTTTTTTTTTCTTGCTCTGGTGCCCCGCTATCGGCCATTTCCCGCTGAAGCCATCACGAGAGGAAAAGAAAAATGGGAAAAAGCAACGGAGACTCTGCTTCCCCCTCCGGCGAGCACGTGTCTCTGGTGTCTGATGACCACACTTGCTGCTCGAAGCTTAGATAGTAGCTAACACTCATCTGCTTTCAGGTCGAGAATGCCGTCGAGATTCTGTCGAATCCCGCCTCCGACCAGTCTGTGAAAGAACAGGCATTCGAGTATCTCAACCACCTGAGGACCGACCCATCAGGATGGCAGGCGTGCACGAACCTGTTTGCTCGAATCCCCCGAACGTCCGAGGTCGTGCGCATGGTGTGTCTTGAGGTGGTCAACTTCGCCGTACACACACAGGGCCTCGATGCCGACAGTCTGGCCTTCCTCAAGCAGACACTGCTGCAATATGTCCGTCAAGCTTATGGCCCCGGGGCTCAGCAAGATCCGGATCCCGCGCACCTCCAGAACAAGCTCACACAGACATTGACATACCTCTTCGTCTTCCTCTACCGCGACGGCTGGCAGAGCTTCCTCGACGACTTCCTCGACTTGACCGGGCTCCCACAGAACGTCGACAACGTGGCCGGCGTCCTCTTCTACCTGCGGGTCCTGTCATCGGTGCACGATGAGATTGCAGATATGCTTCTCTCACGGCAGACGAGTGACTCGAAGCGGAATACCGAGCTCAAAGACCAGCTGCGGGCCCAGGATATGCAGAAAGTCGCCGAGTCGTGGAAACAGTTGCTTTCCAGATACAGCGGAAACGATGTCGTGATTGACCTTGTCCTGAAAGTCATCGGCAAGTGGGTGAGCTGGATGGACATATCGCTCGTCGTCAGCCAGGACATGCTGAACCTGCTGCTACCCGTGGTCGGGCGGACTGGCAGCGAGGACAAAGTGCGAGATACCGCCATCGATACCCTGACAGAAATTTGCGGCAAGAAGATGCGATCAGCGGACAAGATGGAAATGATTTCGTTCCTTAGCCTGCAGGATATAGTGAGCCAGCTGGTTGCCAGCCCCATGCTGAACGACCTCAAAGGCACCCCGCAGTACGACACGGATCTTGCCGAGGCCATTGCCAAGCTCGTGAATACCACAGTGTCGGATATCGTGAGGGCTCTCGACGACACTCAAGCCAGCGAAGAGACACGGACACGGGCCAAACAGCACTTGGACGGCTTTCTCCCACTTCTCTTGCGGTTCTTCTCCGATGATTACGACGAAGTGTGCTCAACTGTCATCCCATCATTGACCGACCTCCTCACCTTCCTCCGCAAGCTGGGTCCGCTCAACCAAGAATACTCCGGCATGCTCTCGCCGATTCTCAATGCGATTATTCGGAAAATGCGATACGACGAGACAACATCATGGGGCAATGAGGACGAGCAGACAGACGAGGCGGAATTCCAAGAGCTGAGGAGGCGGCTGCAGTATCTCCAAAAGACCATTGCTGCCATCGACCAGAGCCTCTATATGGATACACTTAGCAATCTCGTGGCCACCACGTTCCAGACGCTGGATCAGGCGGGATCACAGATGGATTGGCGGGACCTCGACCTCGCACTGCATGAGATGTACCTCTTCGGAGAGCTTGCGTTACCGAACCAAGGTCTCGGCACGAAGAATCAGCCGTCTTCTGAAGCGTCGGAGAGACTGGTTGTGATGATGCAGAAGATGGTTGAATCAGGTATGTTTCACGTTTGAAGAGCAGTCTATACCTGGGCACCCAGCTGACAAGTTTAACTTCAGGTATCGCCAATTTCTCTCATCCCGCTATCCTCCTTCAATACATGGAGATCTGTGTCAGGTACTGTGTTGTCTTCGAGTCTCACTCCCAATATATCCCCCAAGTCCTGGAAAACTTCGTGCGCCTCGTCCACCATAACCATGTGCGTATCAAGACCCGGTCTTGGTATCTCTTCCACAGGTTCATCAAGCACCTTCGATCTCGCGTTGGGAATGTCGCCGAAACCGTCATACAGTCGATTGGAGACCTGCTGCCCATCAAAGCGGAAGTGCCCGGAGAGGATGCTGATGACGACATGTCTTCGGATGAATCTGACCATTCTGCGGACGCGCTCTTTACCAGCCAGCTCTACCTCTTCGAGGCTATTGGATGTATCTCTTCTACGCACAGCACGCCGGCAGAGAACCAGGCATTGTATGCTCGATCGGTAATGGATCCCCTCTTCCGGGATATGGAGGTCCATCTTCCTCGAGCCAAGGCGGGCGACGCACAGGCGACACTCCAGATCCATCACATCGTCTTGGCTCTCGGTACCCTTGCCCATGGCTTCTCTGACTGGACTCCCGGCACCGCCGCAACGAATCAGCATGGGCCGCCGGACAAGCTCGTGTCGGATGAGTTTTCTCGCGCAGCAGAGGCGATCCTCATTGCGCTTCGGGAACTCAACTCGTCAGCAGAAATCAGGACGGCTTGCCGATCTGCCTTTTCGAAACTGCTGGGCGTTCTGGGTGCCGCCGTGCTCCCACAGCTTCCGAAGTGGATCGAAGGGCTGCTCTCTCAAAGTTCATCCAAGGATGAGATGGCCATGTTTTTGCGGCTTCTCGATCAAGTGGTGTTTGGATTCAAGGGAGAAATATACGACGTCCTCAACATGCTGTTGACGCCTCTTCTCCAGCGAATTTTTGGTGGTCTGGGAGAGCCCATCTCGGGCACGGATGACGAGATACAGCTGGCAGAGCTTAGGCGAGAGTATCTCTCTTTCATCCAAATCATCTTAAACAACGGGCTGGAGGGTGTCCTCATCAGCGAAGCGAACCAGGGTTTCTTTGAGCCCATGATTGCTTCTGTTCTCGAGCTGGCAAAGACTTTGGACGGAAACCTCGGCCCCAGCCGCCTGGCCTTTACCATCATGGGTCGAATTTCTTCGCTTTGGGGCGGCCCTGATGTTGCTACCATCTCAAAGACGCCGACGGCACCGACCGGCAGCCCTAGCCCGGCAATTCCTGGATTCGATCACTTCATGATGGAGAGGTTCCATTCTACTTGCTGGGAGGTCATGCGGAATCCCAACTTCAAGCCGTCGAGCGACGCACAGACGAAGCAAGTCTTGACGGAAATTGCCGCGCTGGAGCAGACAATATACACCAAAACAGGCGACATGTTCATACAGCAGATGCAGAGCGAGGTCTTTCCCAGCCTGGGCATCAACGGCGACGACTTTCTGCGATCGTTGACCACCTCGGCTGATAAGAGGCAGTTCTCCACATACCTCCAGCAGCTGCTAAGCCGTCGGTAACAGCGACCAGACGATACACGTGGAAGCATTGAAAATTTATATACTACATCATTCGGGATAGTGGGGCTCGGTCCGGTAGTGGTTGAAGCCCAAAAGGGGGTAGAGGATGGATATCCAGGGCAGGGTAAAAGAGAGAGCGACGAGGGCATATCATAGAATCAACACCACCGCCACCACCATCACCACCAAACCTCCCATCATACGACCACTTATCTCTTTCTATATTTCTCTTCTCATTATCTGCATGAAAAAGTTTTCTAAATACGAAAGGGGGGAAATATGAGAGGAAACGGATTCCTCGTTTGTTGAATTCCAGGCGCGTGTGTCGGTGGGTGGGAAAGGGGAGCTGTCCATCGGGTAGGACTCTGTTGGTTATGGTAAGGGGGAGGGAAAAGACTTAGGTAGCGTATATAGTGTAATAAACGTCGTAAAAACGCGCTGGTTGTTAACGAGAAAGACACTTATTCCTCTTGTACCTTCATCACACGAAATAAGATAGAAAATAGGAGAATGATGAAGTCTTAGAAACTCGCTAACCAGCCAACCATCAAAATTAAGTCTATAGAATATCTCAAAACAACAAGACATGGAAAGGAAGCGATAACCAAAAAAGAAGTTCAACCAAAAGGTGCTGCCGCCGCTCAGGCCATGTCAAACAACAACAGCACAAACAAAGAATGGTGGTAATAAAAGCGACAAGGAAAAGTAGGAAAAAAAAATATAAAGTGCCCTGATTGACTCTAATGATGATAAGTTCTTTTGTATACCTTTCGTTATGTATGTAAACCACCCCCACGGTCCTGTAATTGCAAATTTCTCCTCCTCTTTCTTTGATACGGCGCACCTTTCGTCGTAGGAAAACCAATTTCCCTCCCCCTCTTCTCTTCACACACAGAAGCCGACTAGACAGGAGAAACAAGAAAAAATGCATATAAGGGGGGAAAGAAGACAAAAGGTTGGAATGGTGTGAATTCAGTCTCTCCGCTTTGCTCAGATTATGTAGCCTCCGCCGGCGAGACTGCGCCAGTCACGCACCCCCATGGCCTCTTCGAGCTCGACGCACCACCAGAGCACCTCCCTGGCCTTGTCGACCTGCCCGCTCTCTTCGTGGGCGCGCGCGAGCGCGAACCACGCGTCTGAGTAGTCCCAGCCGGTGCCGAGGCGGGTGAGTCCCGACAGCAGCGTAAAGGCACGGTCACGCGCGGCTAGCCGGTCGATAAGGGGCAGACGGAAAGCCTTGTAGGGCTGGGGAAGCGCATCCACACCTTGAGACTTGTCGCCGGAGCTTCCCGCTTTGGCGGCATCTTTTTCGTCGCCCTCGGCAGCATTGGCTTCAATCGTACTCAGGTCGGAGACGAGTCCCAGAGGAGTAAATGGTAGCGTTTTGAGGGCGGCTGGCGAAGATCCAGACGGGGCGTTACCGGCATCATCAAAGATCTCATGTCCGTCCAAGGGGGGGATTGACGGCGTAGGGAGCAGCTTTTCGCTGTAGATGTCAAGTAGGATGTTGGATAGTCCCACGATCGCTGCGGGATGATCGGGGTAGTACGCCAAGGCAGACTCGAATTCAGTCCGAGCGGCATATGGCGTTTCCTTGGCGAGCGCCAGGAAACCGAGCTTGTATATCATGTTAGCCATTTGCACTAGGTAGCCGCGCAATCAAGAAACTTACCTCGGAGTAAATGTCGCCCCAGAGCTCATCTATGCTCTTCTTCTCACCCCAAGACGGAGCCCTGGTAGTTGCTGGCCCGCTGGCCGGGTCTTTTGCTACATCACTCTCGAGCGTCTGGATCAGCTTCTGCGCTTCGGCAACGGAGCCCTTGCAGTCTTCCAGCATCCCTGCTCGGCGATAGAAGCCGGCAATCATCAGCCACACTTTGATGAGAATCGCCGTCCGCTGGTTTCGCTCCTTGTCTTTCGGGAACTTGATCAGCGGTAGAAGGTGAGGTAGGGTAAAGCTGACGTCGCCCGAAAGATCATCGTCGGCGTACTTGGAATTCGTGGAGAGATAGGAATTCATAGAGGAGCGCGTCCTTCCCCTGGAGGAATTTGTAATCCGAGTCTGTAGACGCCTGCCAGCGGTTGAAAAGAAGTCGTGATCCGTCGAGTCGTCTCCGATAACAGTAGCCTGGTGCGAGAGGCCGCCCAGGCTCGACGACCTACGCCGCTGACTGCCGCTTCTAGTCGTCTTCTTTTTCAAACTGTTTCTCCTTCCAGATTCGCTCCTCTGGGTCTGGGCCCCTAGACTGCCGCTCCGTGACCGTCGGGTTCCGTTTTCTGCCGTGACCTGAACTGTTGGGGCGATGCTAGGGGCAGTGGTGTGTGATGTCGCAGGCCGATCTGGCGCTGCTGTCTTCTCGCCCAGCGTTGCGTTGCTCATCTGCTTGGTGGGCGGTCTCGACCTGTCTGCGCGCGATCTAAAGATGCTTCCCTTGAACGTGTGCGAAGTCTTGGGCGGCTCTCTCACAACCGGGGGCTTGAGCGCTGGCTGTTGCACGTCGATGCTACCGAATAATCGTGAAAACAAAGTCAGCAGTTCATAACTGGCATTCACGGCGACGTCCGGCCCTTCCATGAGCTCTACCAAGGCAAGCTGTGTCATCTTGACGTCCAAAATTCCCACCTTCTCCTCATCACTCATATCATCAACAAGCCCTCTTGGGGGCGCGGCCTTTTCGGCGTCGTTGAGGTGCTCACTGCGGAACCCGCTGTCCGCCTTACCAAAGAGAACGGTTGGGTCCTTGAACTGCTCCAAGGCACCTTCGCAGGCCCTCGCTGCCATGGTGTAGTCTTGCCGGGCGCTCAAAAGAAGGGCCAGGAGATGCCACAGGGGGATAAGAGACCTCTCCTGCCAGTAAGGCCCGTAAAACAGGTTGTAGTCCTCTTCAAACCCGTGTACGGCCATCAATGCCGATCTAACGAGCTCTATAGCTGTAGCAAGCTCGCGACGCTCAGCCAGCAAAAGACCAAGGGCGAAGAAGCTTCGCACGTCCTTTGACCGACCGTATTCGGGGGCCAAGGATCTTCGAAGGCATCTGATGGCTTTGGACTGTATCTCAGCCCTTGACCCAGCTTCGGTCGTCACCCGGGACCAGTGAGCATGTGCAAGGCCAATGGCTTGCCACGCGAGAGCCACGGTCTGAGGCGGCGGGGCGTCCGGCTGCACCTGGCTCTCTTCCTTATCCTCCGCGATCACAGGAGTGCCGTTCTCTTGCGCATTCACGTGCGGGAGCTTGGAAAGCCAGTCCTCCAGCTCAGCGCCCAGCTGCCGGGCCCTTTCGGCGGCCTCCATGTGCCCGTATGTGCACAGCGTCATCACGCCTTGTGACAAAGTTTCCAGAGCAGCCTTGTCGTCGTCCAAGCTCGGCTCAGGGTGTCCCGTCTTGGCCACTCGTGCCTTGCCCTTCTTCACAATGTCCAGGTAGGAGTCGAGGGCTTTGAAGGCCAGGTCGAATTCGGCCACGGACAAGTGAACGGTGAACAAAGACCGGAGGATAGCTGTTGAGTGGTATGTCCTTGTCGCGGCGTTGTACAGGGTTTCGAGAACGCTCCGGCTCAGGAGATCTCGACCACCCTGACCCAGATCCTGCTCACTCCATCCACGGCCGCACAAAATAGACCAGTTCATCATGACTTGCTTGATAAACGTCTCGACCTCAACGCGGTCTTCGTCGGCTCGGGGAAAGGTCGTCTCGCCGAGCAGGAGGGCCTGATAAGCCGACTCTGCTCGCTGGAGTTCTACCCTCAACTGGCTTCGAGCTGACATATCGTCCACCATCTTTTCAGCTTGCCCAGTCGGATACGGGAGATCGTTCTCCAGTATTCGCGACAACGCCAGATAGTACTCGTTCCAGATCCTCCTCCGGGGTACGGAACCCTTGAAGCCGAAACCGCCCGTGACAGGGGCTGACATGATTTTCCAGTATCTCGCCCAAGATCGGAAGCTGGAGATGGAATTGGGGTCGTCGAGGGAGATTTCGCTGTTGTGAAGTGCCTCACTGGTGAGCATGCAGTGCTCCGTAAGAAACAGCTCTGACCAGTATCGCAGCTGCTTGCGGATGCCGTGACCGCTCCAGACGCGGTCCAATGACGGGAGGCCCTCCTGCAGCGCAGCCAGCGCAGGCAACCTCAGCCCGTCTCGCATCAGGCAGTTCGCCCTGAGGTAGGCAGCCTTGAGCGCGCACACGCTGGTCCATTCCGATGCCGTATTCGCCGGGTCGATGTCTGGAATCTCTGCGGTGAGGCTCTTGGGCAGTCGTTCCAGGGCCAAAGAGTACTCGCCGACCACCCAATGCAGCCATCCAACGCAGACCTGGGCCTGGAATCGTTCTTCGGGGCGGGATTCGGACTCGATAACGGCCATGAGCCTCGGAAGTCGGTTGGGAACGTCGAGGTCGGACGGCTGCGTGCCGGCGGCGGTCACTTTGGAGATGGCGCATTCCGTTTCGGCGGTCAACGTGAGGCCTGTGACGAACCAAGTGCCCGTAATTAGCTTCCGATGTGTACACGTCGAGCCGTCGGGCGTCGGATAGGGGACATACATTCTCGCGCCGGATCGTGTTTGCGGACCTTGCGAACCAGCTCCGGAACATCTTGCCAGTTGCCCTCGCATCGGGCGTCGTCCAGCGAGTCGGCATAGCGAGCCGCCTTTGCCTAAAAGCACGGTGAGTTAGAGATAGTCGTCGGCCATCGTTGCAGCTGCAGCTCTTCTTACAGCAGCCATTGTGCGCCCTGCTCAGGAGAAAGAGGGGGGGAGACAAAGAAGGGACCCTGGGGAATAGTGGCTCGCAGCTGTGATTCAGCTCCTAAGCAGTAGCTCGACGCAACGCGCGGAAACAGAAGCTGCTTGTGCCGCTGACGAGTGACAGCTCAAGCGTTAAACGGCCAGCCACCTCGAACGCCCAAAACAAAAACACACACACAAAAAGCGCCGGAGTCGCGATGACGCGAAAAGGGGGGGCGAGGCGAGGCTGTTGAGAGATGAACAATCAAATATGGACGTCCAAGGGAGGCGGCTGGAGCATGTGGCAGCACAGCGCCTGGGGCCCTTTGACGTAGTGCTTAAGATTAGTGCAGCTACAGCGCTGAACAGCAGTAATGCGTGCACTATTACGAGGCACTGCTGCGCCGGACAGGCGTCGAGACCCTGGCACACGAGGGCCAGTGGGCCAATCAGCGGCGCCACACGGAACCCCACGGTCGCCGACAAGGCACTACACGTACCTGAACCTTGCCCGTATGGGAAAGTGGACGGGATTTGACATCAAAGGGCAAAAAAAAAAAAAAAAAAAAAAGTTAGAGTAAGCTCACCACGACAAGCAAAGACGAAGAATGAGATATTGACGGCGGTGATGCATACAAAGACCAATTGGTGATAATTTCTGGGGTATCAACCCTCAATCAGCTCGTTGTTTTACACTGCAAGCGTCGCCTTCGGCAGGGCCGAGCTCTCACTTGTCGACACCGAGTCCTCTCCCTTCCGACGCCTCTTTACAGACATCTCGTGAGAACTCTTGTCATCTCAGCCTCGGCCACGCATATATCCAGTCAAGTCTCTCTCAGCCAGAATGTCCTCCTCAGCTTCAACAACGGACCTCCGCGTCCTCACCCGGAAGCTCACTTCCGTCCCGCCGGCGCAGCTCCCGCATGCTCTCCCTTCCCTCATCCGCCACGTCCTTCGATGCCGCGATGCGCTGTCCGCGCCTCAGGATCCCAAGCTCAAAGGCGATGCCTCCCAGACGTCTATGCTTGTGCACAAGCTCAAGACCAGCATCACTACTCACTTGAACGGCCGGAGCCGCGAGGGCAGATTCGCCGCCATTGGCCTGATCAAGGCAGCCGTCGACGTTGGAGGCTGGGAGACTCTGCGCGGCTCTGAGGCCTGGGTGCGCGGACTGCTCTCTATTATACAGGTACAATCTCATCTATCCTTATCATGCTCTGCTATTGTAAAGTCCAAATGCTAATATCAATCCCAGAAAGGCGACCCTGCGGCGTCCAAAGAACTGGCTGTTGTCACTCTCACGAAAATTTTCATGCTCGTTCACCCTTATCAGACCCTCGTGCGAGAAGTTGCCACGCCTTTCCTGCCTGCTTTTGGCACGGCATGCCTTCAGCTCATCAAGCACAAAGCCGAAGCGCAGACCTCTGCGCCTTTGACTTTGGTTGAAACCATCTGCAGCTCATTTTCCACTCTGATCCCCTTGTACCCGCCGACGTTCCGCCCTTTCAGCTCCCAGATCCGGACCGCGGTCGGCGTCTACCTGGCGCCTACCTGCTCGGATGAAATCTCCGTCCCCGTGTCTCTACAGCGAGCTGCTAGGCGTCTCGTCGCCTCCCTTCACTTCGTTGCGGCCAAGTCCAGCGGCGGCGAAGAATGGGCCAAGCTCGTCGACGGAATCATCCAGGAGTTCCACACCACCGCCGACCAGGTCCTTCGAGCCGTCGACGAGTCGTGGGAGGCAACCAGTGGTCGTTCACGATCCCAGGTCGACGTCGATGGGGAGCCTCATGGCCAAGGCAGCTCTGTCGACAATCTGCCTGCCTGGTCCGGTCTCGAGGCCGGTGCCGAGCGGTTGATTGGGCTCTTCCACTTCCTCGCCGACCTGCTCAGCTATCCTACCAAGGCTGCTGTTACCATCCCCATCAGCGGCCTGGTCGATACCGTATCGAGAGTTTGCCTGATCGCCCGGCTGTCCAAGTCCCAGACCTGGGAACAAGCCGTCGAAACCAACTCGGCCATTGGCAGAGAAGAAAAGGAGGAACTATGGAGCTTGATGCCCGACATCCACGTCGCAGCAATGAAGCTCGTCATCGCTCTGTTTGAGAGGCTGCAAAGACACATGCTACCCCTGGTCCCCGAAATCCTGGACCACCTCATCCGTGTCTTCAAGTCGGGCATCAGCATCCCCTCGGTCCGCGTAGCCGGATACACCACTCTCAACACCATCCTCCAGCTTGCCGGGCCAACACTATCCAAGCCTGCCGTGGACATGCTGGACCCCCTCGTCGGGGCATGCTGCCGAGACCTCCAGCAAGACGCCGGCTTCCTCAAGCCCGCCGACAAACCTACCACCACCACCACTGCAACCCCCTCCCAGAAAGGCCCAAAGAACGGCGCCGCCACCGTCAACACAGACCTCTTCCTCCAACCCACCGCCGCCGCCGCCGCAACCGAACCCCCGACCCTGGAACCGCACCACAGGAACGCCGCCAGCGCCCTTCTCGCCGCCATCCTCGCCCAGCTCCCGCAGTCGCACCTCAAGCCCGCCCTCCGCGGCCACCTCGACAAGACGGCCATCCTGACGCGCAGCCGCGACGCCATGCTCGCCAGCGTGCTCAACCCGTACAGGGACCAGCACGGCAGGATGTATCCCAGCATCTTGCCCCATCTGGTGCAGCAGTTCCCGCACGATCAAGGGCTGGAGATTTTGCGCAGCAATCTGCGGACTAGTGGCGTCCAGGGCGCCGGAAGCGAAATGTTTGCCTCGCTAAGCGAGGTCGCTGAATTGCAGCAGATCGATGAAGAGGAGGAGGAGGAGGCCGAGCAGGAAGAAGGAAAGGAGGAGAAGAAATCCGATGAGGAAATGCAAGATCCATCGTCGGAGAAGGAAGCAGCAGCAGCAGCAGCCTCCCCATCCAACACCAAGATCGACCTCCCAGTTCAGAGCACCGTCACCGCCCCCAACCCCTTCGAGCCTCGCGCCTCAAAGAGCACCGGGAGGGCAGCTTCCCCGCCCAAGAGGAAGCACGAGGGGCCGGACGTGCCGGTCAACCCCAAGAGACAGGAGCTCGAAAAGACGGAACCCGCCGCGGCCTCGGCCTCGGTTACTGCGCTGCAGACGAAAGGGGGTGAGAAGGAGAGTGGACAGCAAGAAGAGTCAGATAGCGACGACGACGAGGGAAGCGTGCACTTGAATATGGAGCTGGATGATGATGAAGAGGAGGAAGATGAAGAAGAAGAAGAGTAGAGTTGTACCAAGGGCGGGGATAAGAATATCAAGCTGTAGAGAAGTGGCACGAGCCGTGTATTGGATATATCTGCATAAGATGTAAGATGTAGTCTACACCATGATCACTTTTGTTTATCTCTCGATTACAATGAATTGAATAACCTGACCAAATCTCCAACCAGTTGAAACGTCCAGCACAGTGGAGTCAGATGCAGGACGGAAATGTAAAAAGAAAATCAACGACAAATCAACATAAGAAGGAGAGGGGACAAAGATAACAATAGGTGATATGCCTAAACCTGCGCGCCCTATATTCTTTCCAACGCCGTCCTTTGTTCGAAATATTTGACAACCGAAATCCCTTGGTTAGATAAAAGTCAATGTCCCAGTATAAAGTTAGGTATATGAGAAGTCGAGAAGAGGAATGCCATGCAAGACGGCCAAACCAAATCGAAGAACAGAACCCTTGATCAGCTAGGAGATGCTTCAGTCGCGCAGCCAAGCTCGGCGTTTCTCTTCCTTCCTGGCGCGACGCTTCTCTTTGAAGGCCTTTAGTTCGTTCTTGGTAGGCTTCTTGTTGGACCGCTCGGCCTTGAGGCTGCGGCCGCCATGAGCATTTGCCGCGGCGTCCACGTCGAAGAAGGCGTTCATCTGGCGCTTCGACTTGGCTTCGTCAGAGTGGCGTTCAGCGCCTTCTCCAGCTTGGAAATGTCCAGTAAAGCGGTTGAAGGTCGCCGTGGCGGCATATATAGCGGCAGGATCGCCGACCAAGCCGGTGGTATCCTCTTCCTCTTCGTTGGTCTTGGCGTACCACGCATTCGGATCATAGTCGCCGTGAATGGCCGGGTTGTAGCCTCCAGCAACGGGCTTCTCGTGAGAAGGCGGCTGGGGCTCAACCACAAGCGAGGTTACCGCAGGGCCATTTGCGCTAGGGACTCGAGGGTTTTCCCACTGGCTCTTGCCCGTGAAGCGGTTGTAGAAGAACCAGGCCTGGCTGTTCGGATCCCACTGGCAGTCCCATCCGTCATCCTCTGGCTGCTGCGGCACCGGCTCGTCTGGCAAGGGTGGACCATCGGGAACGGCTTCATTCGGCAGCGGTGGCGCCTCTCCAGCGGCAGTCGCATCGGCTCGTGACGACTCTTCTGGCGACTTGTCGTGAGAGCTGGCGTCCCGCGATCCGTCAGACTCGTCTTCCTGAGTCACCTCCCCAGCCTCAACGTCCGAGTCCTCGGCACGCTCATCGTTCGCCGCTTCCTGAACAGAGTCGGCGACCGCAGCTGGCGACTCAGCCGCCTGCTCAACTGTGGCATCTGTGGCGGTGGTCTTTGGCGATGGCATGTTGGCTCAAGCACAGCGCACCTCAGGCAGTCGTCTTTTTGCGTCTTATTGTCCTTGCTCTATTGTACCTGCGTTCATCTGCAAACGTGAGTATCCTGATAACGCCATGATCGACATGATACTTGTGCACCTAGAGCTTAGCAGGCGGGGACGAGGCAGTCTTGAAGCAGAAGCACTGCGGCTACGAGCTCGCTCTTGGTAGGTATTGCGCCTTTTCGCGTTGCAACGAACAACGAGCGAATAATTACCTGAGTCGGAGAAGTAGTAGAAGCAGTCTCGCGCGCCTCGCTATCACAACCGTGCTGTTGCTTTGGCACCGCAACTTGCTGTGAGGCTGGCAGTCAATGATTCATGCGATGGAGGTAGGGATGAAGGAAGCTTGACGGATATGCAAGCAAAGGAGGATGAGTGATGGGGCTGTTCGGTTCAGCTTCGGAGGAAAATCTATAATCCGGGAGCTGTGATTTGGGGGAGCTCATTTTACAGTGGGCGATCCCGGCGGAAACCAAGGCGGAACGTGGAGATGATGGCTGCTATTTTAGCGCTGGTGTCGCTTGACAGTGACAGCCCAACCTTGACTTCTTGTCTTGTCCTGTCCTGGTCTCTTCCGACGTCCCATCAGGTTACATCTGCAGTTCTTAGACGCTGGGGCTGCCAGAATACGAGAACGTCCCCATTGTCGACCCAACAGTGATCAGCTCAGCTGCATCTCTCAGTCCAAAGAGCCCACAATATGCATCCAGGTCGCGAATGAGCGTGGATTGTCGATCCCCGTCCCTTGCTGCCGGCTTCTCTTCGTCTTCCGCTCACTTCCATTCTGTTTCTCTCGCTTGTCACCATGTCTTCTCTTCACGTGTCAAGAAGGGCAGAGAGCTCTTGGGAGTTGCGTATATGCACTGAGCAGCATCGCTCGCCTGTCACATGCCTTGCTCTCTGTCTCTGCCACTCCCGTTCTCATTCCCTTTTCCCCTTTCTTTGCGCTCGTTTGGAAGTAATATTGAACTCTCCAGCGGTTCACCAACATGCATTGGCCGCCCCTGTCACAACTCGTAATCCCCATCCTCATCCAATGTACCAGCGCCAGCCAGAGCGCAAACAGTAGCCCCCAGCCTCTGCCAAATGGCGATGACTCCGTCTGTGACTGCTTCCTCACCAATGGCACACAGCCCGGCTACTTCTCCAACCACATGTTCTTCGACTTCCGGAACCTGACCAAAGACGCCGGGATCCCGCCGATTGTGACCAATGTCACCAACGCAACCTATGTCCCGCCAACGAGCGAGTACTTTTCCAGTGACGAGTGGACGAGCGTCTGGCAGCTCCAGGGATGGAGCAATAGCGAGGGCAAGGGAAAGGGCCTGTCCGGGGCGGCGACGGTCCTGATGGCCTACTCCCCAGCCAACGTGTACATCCAGAAGAACGGCGACGACGATGCGGACTCGCAGACGTTCCTGGCGCTGAGGACCCAGCGGGAGCCAAAGTTTCAGTCGGCGGCGGCCTTCCAGACCAAGACGTCGGACTACCAGTTCGTGTCTCTGCGCATGCTCGCCCGAACAGTCGGCAGCCCGGGAGCCGTGACGGCAATGTTCACGTATCGCGATGCCACCGCCTCGTCGAGCCTGCAGGAGTCGGACTTTGAAGTCTTGACGCGCGGTCCCCGGGAAAGGGTCCAGCTCACGAACCAGCCCTCCTTCGACAGCGACGGCAAGGTGAACCCGGAGGCCACCACCAACGCCACGCTGCCGGGCGACATGATCTGGAGCCAATGGGCCGTCTACCGGCTCGACTGGACGGCTGATAGCAGCGTCTGGTATGTAAACGGCCAGCAGCTGGCCAATATCACCTTCCAGGTGCCCCAGGACGGCGCCGGCATCAATTTCAACGCCTGGTCTGACGGAGGGACTTGGAGCGGAAACATGAGCGTGTATGACCAAGCGAACCTGCAGATCCAGTGGATCGAGATGATTTACAACACCTCTTCTGCCTCCCAGCGGAAGCGGGAGCGGGATCCTACACACGGCCTCCTCTGGAGCCGCGACGCCGGGCCCCATGGCGAACTGCCCCGGCGGCGCGACTTGTCTCTCCGCAGCAGCAGCAGCAGCAGTGACGAGAGCGGCTGCAAGGTCGTTTGCAGCATCGACAACGTTACGGAAGCGGGAGTTGCTACCATGCTGTGGAATACCAGTAGCACAGCCACGCGGATGGCCGGTGCTGACGCCGTGAGAGACATTGCATGGGCGTGGGCCCTCCTTGTTGGGAGTCTTGTATGGCTTATGGTCACTTGACGGGAACGACTTGATGATTTCATGAGACGTACGAGGATATGTACGAGGATGCTCGAGACAAATCTGAGCTGTCCTTGAATGACGGATGTTGGAATGGTCCTTGCATAGTACGGAGCGGATTACGAATCTTCATCTCATGACTTACGTTAATGATACAAACAACTTGAGTAATCATCATCCTTATACATACACATGGCCTCTCGCCCAGCTACATCAAGTCTGATCTCGATATGGGATCGTTTGTACAAATGAACCCAGTTCCTACACAACCTTACATACTACCTATACCCTTCATGTAAAGTAAGCTTGTCCTTCCGTGAAACAACAAGGATCCCCCAGGCACCCACTCGTCCCCCAGTGAATAAGGAACACCCATTTCGATGCACGAGACCGCGGAGTAGTAATTCTATTACATACTTCAACTCATGGATGATGACCTGGGCCCCCTCCTTGTTACCCAAGATCTGACTATCCCCGCAACTTTGTACATACACGCGCCTCCTCCTCCTCCTGTGAGTCTACGGCTAGGCATACAAGCACAGTATCATCGAGATCTCATACGAAAATACATCCCATTGCCACGTTCCGGTGTTAGATTTTCACCTATATTCCCCCCTTTTCACACCCAAAGAGACAAATCGAGTAAAGCCCATGGCTGAACATGCCCCAGCAAAGACTCAAAAGCTCACCGACACACAGAGGAGTAACCGTTCAGCAGCAACTCCTCCGTCACACGTCCAAAGTAAGCTTACATGCAGTATATTTATTCAAGATCATGCTACCATATTTCCACGGGCCCCCCTTGTCTTGTTAAACCACGGAAGCTCTCCCGCTTCCCTTCCCGCTGGGGTTGTGCTGTTTTTCTGTACTCTCTTGTTTTCCGTAACCTCCAATGACAGCCTCCATAACAGGTTGAAAGAAATAAAAGACAACTTTTCAATATCATAACACAAAAATTAACTTTTTTTTTTCCATCCCTGTGCTAATATGCTGAACAACACCAATCCAGTGGTATAATGGGTATCTCCACCACGTCGTCCTCTCCGGACAGGGCTCGAACAGAAAAAGGCCCAAAGACATGGCCCATGCCACTAAAGTGATGCTTCGTTACTTCGTACATCAAAAAGACCAAGTTAAAAATCGTATAAGTGGTTGAAAGCTAAGACCGAAATCAAAGCCGTACAGTTCGCCATATGCAAGGCACACTCCCTCGGTTATCGTGATATATTGCTTGTCTTGGATGATCTTTTAGAGTAAGAGATGGGAATTGTGCACTGCTGTCATCCGTGGTCAGAATCCTTGGCGCAACCAGGGTTTGTCGAGCAGACGGAGTTACGAAGATATAACTCTACGTAACATCTCGATTCGCCTTCTCCACAGCCCCGTCTTACTCGGACCTAGGCACTGCCCAGAATCGAGTGAGTAAGGGGGGCAGCAGAGGACTCGTTTCTCGTGTTTAGAATCCCGGCCTTTCGGACGCCTCCGTCCTACTAAGCCCACTGAAGGGGACCGATGGTTAACCCTCCGCCTCTGGATACTGGGGAGTCCCTGTACCCAGGTAGGACGTGGATCGTAAGGGCCATCCGGTCTCGACGTAATCTCCAAAGCCATTCTTGAAAGACCAAGCTCATCTCGACTTCGAGGGAGTGTAGGGTCCGCTATAAGCAATACCAGGTGAGCCTCCGTCGCATGACCACCGTCATCGATAGCATGCGCGGAGGCCGTTATGATTGAGAGATCACCTCATGTGAGTCTGGTCAAACTGAAACGGCTGGTTGGGGAAAGCCATGCTGGCACTGAGCCCAAACGGATCCCAGTCGGGTTGCTGGTCCAACAACTGCGTCATCGAGGGATACTGAGAACCCGTAGTCACCTGGTGTCCGGGTCCGGTGGAGGCCGGCGAAAGGAGCATTGGTTGCTGTTCCCCGTTGAAGCCGCCTGGGTATGGGCCCGGGCCACTGGGCGTCTCAATCTCGGAGTCTTCGACCATATCGGCTTCGTATTCTTGCTCTATGCGGCAACGAGTCAGTTCAAGCAAGATACCGCATCAACACGCCTCCAGCGAGGCCTATCCATCTTACCAAGTTGCTCAATGTGGTTCTGGAATGACGGCGTCGGATAGAATGATGCGCCAGAGTTCATAGCTCCCCGCGACCCCGGTTGCATCATTGGCTGTCTCGACGACGGAGTGGCGACGGAAATGGGAGTCATCTGCTGACGAGGCATCCCAGAAATAGACCCTCTCATGGACATGGTGTCGGAGGCTGCGGGAGAAAAGGCGGAGCTGGCCATGCTGGGGGAGTTGGAGTGAGAAGAGGGAGCTGGTCGGTTCTTTGGTGACGGCGCAGTCTTGTGAGTCTGCAAGGGCGGAGGCAGACCAGTGCCTGGTTCGGTCTTGGGAGCAATGCTGGAAGTAGACTTGCGCGCGTGGTGCCGGTGCATCATGGTACGTTGAAGGGGAGGTGGCTGCACCAGGTTCTGTGGCATATGAGTGGGTGCCAGGTTGGGGCTGCCGGTTTTGGCCTGAAGCTCGGCTTGAACATCGATGCCTAGAAGTCGGAAAGCGTCAGTTGAGAGGCCAAGGTAGACGTAGTTGCGACTTGAAGATGCTCGGCAACGTACCCTTCTCAAGGAGGATGCGCTCGAGGAGCGAGTTCTTGTATCGGAGCATCAAGCATTCTTCGGCGGCGGTGCGGTGCGCCGCCTGCAGGTTGTGCAAGTTGGACTCATGGACGCGGATAGTCTCCTCGAGCTGCTTGATATATTCGGTCCGTCGTTCGCGGAAGGCGGCTTGGGCTTGTCTGTTGCGTTGTTTGCGCTCCTCGGAGGTTGCATATATCTGGTCGGATAGAGAGGCACGTGTCAGCACAAGAGTACAGGTTACGATTGTAGTTGTGATAACGTTTGCCGAAGACGTTGTCTGAAGGTGTGAGGTAACACGGGAGCTGCAGCGAATTACCCAAAAGGGCAGCAGAACGCCTTGACCACCCATGCAGCCGCCTGATTAGACGAGGCGCCATCGAAGCCATCGCTGGCTGTAGTTGGATATGGGGTGATATGCAGGTGTATCTGTGAAGCGGCGAGGGTATCTGGCATGCTATCCGAGAGGTAGCATGATAGCTGCGATAGGAAATGGAAGGGAACATTGTTCGATAGGGAGCAGGCCGTCGGCTCGGAAGAGGAACAGAGGATGGAAGGGGGAGGGGGTATGAGGTAGGCTGAGGGGTAGCACCGGGAAGATAAGACAGACGAGATGCAAGACAGAGACTAGCAGCACTGCTGATACCGTCTATGTAAGGTGGGCAGTAGTGATGCTACTACCACTTTGCATAGGTAGGTAGGTAGGTAGGTAGTAAGTCGTCGTCGTCTGCCATAGGCAGTGTGGTGAAGATGACGTTGACAATGGAGAGACAAAGACAGAGACAGAGGAGATGGGGCAACTGACTGGCTTGCGGCCACCCTTCCGCTTGGGCTGCTGGCCGTCCTGCGAGACGTTGATGATGTTGCTGCCGCTGCCGGCGGTCATGGGAGGAGCCTGCTCCCTCTCCGGGGTGGAACCGGTCGAGTCCTCGCTCTCGTCGCGGTGGTGAGGGTTCGGCCCCGGGTTCTGGGTCGGCGGCTTGTTGTCGATGGACATGATGTCGGCCATGCCTTGGGTGACGGCGCGGGGGCCCGTAGAGACGACAGCCGCGCTGCGGCAAGCGCCCCAGTTGGTCTCAAGAGGACAAAACCGCCAAAGGACACCCAGCTCAGCGTCCCGGTGACGTGGTTCGCGGGTGGGACGCCTGGTGTTCGCAATCAACAAGCGCGAGCGGCGGCAAGGCTATCGCGAGGGATGGCCAGCCGACAGGACCGTCGTGGGCTCTGGTTCGCCCAGCAGGAGGCTGTTATCAACGAGTCCCAGGCGGGCGAATGCAATTGCAGGGTCCTTCTGGGCGCAAAAAGTCGACGGCAGAGATAGGCGTTCGGCAGCGCGTCTGTAGCGCCTATGGGCGGCCGAGGGGAAACGTAAGAAAAACAAAAATCGCAGCGCAGCGAGAGATAAGGGACCGTCGCCCCGAGCTTCCAGAAAGATAGTAACCTGAATGTGCAGGCCAGGCTCCGGGAGGGTCAGTTCGAAGATACTGGACAGAACCTGTGGGAAGCTGGTGGGAAAAGGACGCCCGGGACTTCTTTTATGTAATGGGAATTGCGCAAAGAGGGGAGCCAGCAGCGCTCCGGCGGCGACATTTGCGCTGGAGCTGGCCCCCGTCTCTTTATGATGGATTTCTACTGGCAAAGGCACGGTACTAGCCACTTTGATGGGTGCGGTGCGTTGAGGCTGGGCTGGGCTGGGTACTCGTACGGAGTAGGGCCTGGCACGGTACGGTCGAGCCTGGCTTGGCTGGCTTCGCGGGAAAACGGGGTCCCAGCTGATTCGGCTTGGATCTGTCTGTCTGGTCTTCTTTGGCTCGTCAACCCAGTGCCACTCTCAAGACTGGCGATTGGACTCTGCAGGGTCGGCCGACGACCCAGCGCGAGGGGTGGAGCGATGGGCGATGGGCGAGCGAGCGAGCTCGGCGCTGGCCTGGCCAGACAAGGCATAGGCCGAAGAAGAAGAAAGAAAAAGACGAGCAGCCGGTACGAGGGCGATGGGGCCGGGGCCTGCAGCTCTTTGCGCGGGTACCTGTGAGACGTGAGCCGCGCAACTTCTTGTCGCCGCGCTGGGCGTGCATCTGGCTGCTCTAGCGCTGTCGCCCGTGGCACCAGAGCGAGCGCAGGCCCGCACCGGCATCTCAAGGACGAGGACCAGAAACAGCGGAAACGATCCATGGCCGGGCAGGGCAGGGCAGGGCAGATGCGACCCGACGCACCGAGGGCGAATTCGTGAGCAGCAGCCGGTTTGACAGCATCCGTCACAAACCTGGCGATACACCTCGATGAGGACGGCCACCGGCATCCCAGACTCGATTCTCTTCTCTCCCTCTCCTCGCACAGTCTCTCCCCTCTCTCCTCTTCCCACCCCTCCCGACCAAGAAACTCAAGAGGCTGCGCCCTCGCATGTCCATTCGGCCAACCGTGTGTCGACGGCGTCCCTGCGAGTGGGTGTGCTGTGGGCTGCGAGCACCGACCGGTTGGCCTTTCGCCTCGATCCAGTCACCAGTCTCGAGGCCCTTCCCCAGCCGACGCGTCAGGTGGTCGCTCGGGCTAGAACTGCTAGCGACTGGCAAACTGGCTAGGGGCCCCGGGGACGGACAGCAGGTGGGAATGGCCATCGTGCGCTTTTCATGGCGCTCCACCTGCGTCTCTCCACCACGGCTTGCAGATGAAATTTTTCATCGGCCGCGAAGCCAAAAGTCAGGGCCTTGGCTCCTTTGTGGATCCCCGCCTGGGAGCCGCCCTCTGTCGGCCTTGTCTGTCTCTTCTTCATACGGAGTACATACGAAGACGGAAAGCACGAGAACCACGGAAATCGTCATGCGAAGTACTTTACTCCGTATTACTCTATACAAAGGCTTGGAAGGAACGCTTTCCGCCCTTTTCCTCCCCTCGGGGAGCTTCTCCTTCTTCACCGGTCAGACCCGTTCCCCATCTCCAATATCCACCAGCAGCGCCTTCAATCTCACCCAGCCATGCCGCAACCCGGGGCGGCTAGCAGTGGCATCGACGGAGCATCTGCTGCTAGCATCAACCTTGGGTGCTTGCAATTCTTCTCTGCCAGGGGTAACGCCGGCCCGTCTCCTTTGCTGCAGCTTTCTCAACTCACCTCCAGCCAGCCGCAAGCCTCGTCGCCCACTAGCACGGCACGGATGAGCGAATATTAGCATGGCTTGCATGCAGAGCACAAGATTGAAGAAGCGAATTGACTACCAATCCGTGCTAATCAAGGTGCTAATCGTGCTAGATGGCAGCAAAGAACGCAAATGAAGTGACAGGACATTGATCAGCAGCTGCGTTGAATCACCACCATCACAGAAAGAACCGCGGATCTACTGCCGGCTGGCGACAGGACCCCAGGACGACTTGGCGGGACTGCGACGCTGCCGCGGAAACGAGACCGGCGACGAGATCGGCTTCAGGGTGAACGCATGTCGTTGTGCTTCGATGTCCATGGCGAGGCTACCTTACCCGCTACTGTAGTAGTAGTAGCTGCTACGAATTGATCAACGCTACGAAGTGATACTATTCGCAGCTAATGATATTGGCCCCCAACTGGCCTCGTTAGCTGCAAATCTCAAGCGTTCAGGTTCTGTCTTTGCACAACCACGGACGCATCTGGCTTCAGGTTCGAGGTTCTCAAAAAGCAGAGAGAAGCCAAGTGCTCAGGCAACCATGTTCTGTATCCCGGCATTGGCTGCCCTGGGGTAACATGGATGCCACTCTCGTGCCTCGCTGCGCTGAAACCGACTGACTTGCACAGCAGAGCTCGTCTCCTTGGTTTTAAGCTTAACCTGGGTCTCACCACGCCCTTGGCGAACAGTCAGTCACTCACATCTCGATGTCATTGTGAGTGTCTTGCCTTGATTGTTCGTACCTGGGTAGGACATGGTGCTAGGACGAGGAGCGAGCCGCACTGCTAGCAACCTGATCAGCCAAAAGTCCACCATCCAGCCGAGACATGCAGCCCATTTGGCCTTTGCCGACGATTGCCATGCTGCAGATCCGACACCTTCTCGTTCCGTCATCCATTGCCAACTCATGTGGCCATGATTCCGCCCCTGATCGAGGCTCTCTCCAATAACGAATGCACGGATACAGACTTGTGACGCGCGGTGTCGGGGTCCGCCGTGCGTTGTCCCGCAACCGCATTGCCAGCGATGATATGATATAAGAGTACTATGCACATATCTACATACCAAGCTGCGCGAGTCTGCATGCGTCCCTGTGCCGGAGGTCCGGTCGAGGCGTCTTGTTCTCTCCATACCGGCCAATTGGTGCCGTCGTGGTTCTAGTTTCCCACCAAGCAGTCGATCGCTCAATCCCCTTTTCTTTCGACCCCATTCTGGGGACTCCACGACATCAAACTACGGGGGCAGGAAAGTATGCAGTGTTCCCCTGACACGAGACCATCCTTCAGCCAACCATCGCTCAACATGCAAGCAAACTCCGCAATTGGGGCTGCCTGGACGGGCTATGGAGCATTCGAGGCGTCCTCAGCTCGGAACGGGCGCTGAACAGCATCGCGATCGCCTCGGGACCTTTCACCGTGATTCATGATGAGACGACGGTGGACATAGCGCAGTCATGTGGTGCACGAGGTGGCTTTCCGGGGAGTCCTCAACTTGCCCTTGAAAGCTTATAAGCCTCCGCGTGATCTCGGCAGCGGGCGAAAGCAGAGGGGATGCTGATATGAATGTCTTTGTCTGGATCGTCTCAACCTGCCGAAGCCAGCAGTTTTAATAGCTGATTCCAAATGCATTTCACTCCGAGTCGATGCCCAAGGAGGAAAGCGACTCTGGCCCGGGCCGTCATCTTCTCTTACCCTCCCCAATGCTTCGAAATGCTTCCAGTCGTATTACTACTTCGTTCCCGTCGTTGCATCCAAACGGCAACCCACAAAGCCAAGACTTCTCCTCGCTTGCAAGAACACATACAGCAATACTGTACGGGGCTCTTTGCACGTTCAAACATGCCGTCAGCGCCACATATGCCATGCCCATCCCATGGAACTTCAGCTCCCCAACCGTCGGGCCCTCCCCAGCAACCCAGGTCCCAAAGAGCCAAAAGTCCTGCCAACTCGAAGCGCCACCACCCGTCTTCCCCAGCTTCCTCGGAGATGTGCCAATCAGCATCCCCATTGGGCAAGATTGTCTCTCGGATGTCGGGGCTAGCTCCAGGAAGGCGTTCGCCGCTAACGCAAGAAATCACAGAGCCATTGTGTGAGAACGTTGTCCGGCGTGATGAAATTGTTGAGTGTGGATGAGAATTTGTCCAGTGCGAATCGATTTCCCATCATGGTTTGAACGTGATATAATGATGGTGTCAGGCGATGAAACCAGCGACCCAAATACAGTATGAGTTAATGGTAAAGCGGCGAGCTGTTCCTGTTCCAGACAACTCAACTCATGGCAGCCAGGTGCAGCAATCATCTCAGCTTCAATGGTGACACAAAGCTGGAAAGACCATGAGAGTTTCTCCCAACCGCATTTGGCATATACATGAAAATCAAGAAGAACTCAGGACGAAACGAGTTTACAATCTCACCGCCCATCCAAAATAACAAGAAAAACGGTAGACCAACTTGACGTCTGTTCAACTTCTTCGGCCATCATCGATGCGCATGGCACGAAGATCATGCAGACTGGTTCTTACTCTTGGCGGGCAACTTGACGCCACCCTCACAGCCCGTCCGCACAAGGACGGGATTTTCTACTGCATCCCACCCAGATCCCTCTCCTTCGCCGATGACCCTCTTGGGTGCTAAACTTGGATATACTACACCACTGCCCTAACCTTTGTGATGGCCCTAATACCGGAGCATACAAATCTAGTCAGTCGGTGACAAGTAGGTAAGCATCGGGTACGGCGGATGTCACGGCGCTCCAACTGGAACCTCTACTGTACCGACCTCGATGGTGTCATTCTCGTCATCACGGGTTGGGCGACTTCCAGGCCGCCCCGACTTCTGGAAAGATTCTAGCGGCGCACACCTCAGGCGCAGGCCGCTCCGATTTTCGGGTCGGAGGACGGAGGACTCCGCACATGCAGGATTTCGACGTCGTTGCTGCTGCTGCCATTTGTTGGAGAGGTGAACTTGGTGACTGGTATTTGTGATCCCTTGGCAAGGGAGGTTGGGGATGTGATTGGGTGAGTCGCTGGATGGAGAGGGTTGACAAGTCCTAGAGGGAGAGAGCTTGGGACTTGGCGTGCGGCTGTGTGTTGTGTGGTGCATTTCGACGGCGGCCAAAGACGTCTGCTTCTCCCAACGGCGTTGTCGTGAATGAATACCGTCTCCCTTCAGACATTTCTGCCATGGCGAATGTCATGTGGTCGAGGGTGAAATGGAGCTGATCTGGGGAGAGTGATTAGGAGATCAATCTCAAGCCCCCTACCCCTTTGCTCCAGGAAGGTCTATTGACTCCTTCCGCACATGGTCTTTTTGATTATTTTGCTACTGCTGAACTGAAATTCTCATTGTCTCGCAGAGGGGATATGCTCTGGCATTCTTTTTCTCTTTCTTCCAGTTCTTTCTCATGAGGATGGGAAGCTTGCGCTGTAGCCCAAGGGTCCCCGTTGCCTAGGTTGCGCCTAATCGGGTAGCGCTCGCATGCTTATGAAAGCAGCCAGCATCAATGAGGTAGCTTTAGACGTCATCAGCTGTAAGATACACGATTTCGCCCGTGCGAAATCTGGGCTTCTATGTATCTCGTACAGACAGAAGAATGGTCTGATCTAGCAGTTGATGACCTCAAGTAAAGGATGCGCAGCCAGCAAAACATACAAGGGCCGGAGAGCTTCAAATCATGTTATCTGGCCATCATTTGCCAGAGCATCAGCATACCGTGTCAATTGAGAGGCCGTTCCGCGCATGAAAACTGTACTACACACTGTCAGCTCCACTTCGTGCCCTTTCCCTTCGGAGCTTGGGCCATGAGAAAGTAAACAAACCCCCTCGTGCCTTGGTGCCGTTTGTTTTCATACCATCACCCACCACCTACCAGGCAAGATCGCATCACGACATTCCTTGTCTGCGCTTTCGAGACACTTCATCCAGCAGCTGCGTCGGCCAACGAGTACCGCTACCAATACCAAATTACCCTGCAGTCTTTAAATCAGAATCGAGCGCCCTTCCAGACCATGTCTGCGCCTCCCCGCCGCTCGGCGCGGCTTGCTAAGGTGAGGAGTTTTCGCACCTTCGACACGCTCTGCAAAGCTGTCGTGGCCTAACAATGCTGGAACAGGTCAAGCCGGAGCTGCTTGTTGAGGAGGATTCCCTCAACGTTGTCCAACATGTTGAGCCGGAGCGCAAGAAGAGGAACAAGCATGTTGAGCCAGAGCTCCCAGAAGCGGCTGGACGTGTCGAGCCCGCCAGCGGCAGCAGAACGACTCCCAAGAAGCTGAGCGATTTTGCGCCGCCCGCAACGCCCGCGACCCACGCCATGAAGCCTCCCAGCACAGAGATGCACCCCAGCAAATTCCATCCCACCACTGCCGAACCGTCATCCGCTCTTAGACTGGGCTTTACCGATATCGACGTCGCCAAGAGACGCGACAGCTCCCATGGAGCAGGCCTTCAATCCACCCCGTCCAAAGTTGGCGGCGTGCCATCTTCTGCATTCACCCTCCGTGTCCCTCACGGCATCGATGCCAACCAATTGGGACTGGGGCCCGAAGCCCTACGCGTCCTGGAGGGCCTCAAGGAGAAGGCGGCCGAATACAAGGCTGATCTCATCGCTCAGAGGGCAAACGATCCCTCGTCCGCCGCAACCGACGCCAATGGCCGCACGATTGCCAAGCCCAAGGGCAAGTCCGGAAGGTTTAGCGCGGCCCATATGGCTGAGTTCAAGAAGATGGACTCTATTGAAGGCCATGCCTCGGCTTGGAGAGCGCAGAACGGAAGATTCAGCCCCGTCAAATCTGGCGTCAAGCGATCTCACTCCAAGACCAACCTCGACACGCCTCAGAAAAATGCGAAGCCGAGTCCCTCAAAACTGCAAAAGGAGGCGCCATCTACTGTACCGAGGAAGCGCGCTTCGGAGGCGGACAGCTTTGGACGTTTCTCTGCCAGGAGGGCGGCAGCCAAGGCTTCTGTCCAGGAACCTCAAAGCCCTGCAAAGGACGAGCAGCCTTCGCTCCCTGCCAAGAGACTCAAAAAGACCGCAGACGACGATGCTTCGACAGCTCGACCGGCGGCTCAAGAAAGCACATCGATTCCTCGCCCGATGCCCAGCCCCAAGAGACCTACTGCTTCCAGAATCGGTCGGCCTAGTATTTCCCGCCTAGTGAGCCCAAGGAAGTCGGTCTTTGATTTCCTCGCGAGCCCCGGAAAACCCAAGGCTTCTGGTACTGCTGCACCGCCATCGAAATCAGTCTCCAAAGACCAGGGAGAAACCAAGGAGCCCAAGGAGCCCAAGGAGTCCGTCAGAGTCGTCAAGGATTCCAATGAGCCCAAGGGGCTCAAGGAACTCAAGGCATCCATCAGAGCGGTCAAGGACCTCACGGAGTTCAAGGGCCTCAAAGAAGCCAAGGAGCTCAAGGAGACCAAGGAGCTCAAGGAAGCCAAGCTCCAGGAAGCCAAGGAGCCCGAAGAAACCGACAATGTTGATGCAGGCCTAAGCAACTCGGCCATGAAGCGATCGCTGATGCGGTCTGTGTTTGGAGGCAGCCCATTCTCGCCCAAGGCAAAGAGTGCCATCCCGCAGCCTGTTCCTACCACTGCACAGACACCGCCAGCTCCGACTCGCTTCTCCAATCTGAACATTACGCGGCTCGCAGCCACTCAGCCTGTGAGGAAGCTTGCCAAGCATGTGACATTCACGCCGGAAGTTACGCGAACCGTCTTTGACCCAGACACGCCTTCGCCTCTCAAGTCGACCACTACTAAGAGGGCTCTGGTCTATTCTCCAGCCGAGGAAGTTTTAGCAGCATCAAAGTCTTCAGGCGACATAACATATCCCGACTTGTCCAGCTACAAGCATCTTCTCGAGTCGAAGCCAGAGAGCGTCGAATCCCCCACCCCTTCCGTTCCAGGCAAGTTTACGTTCCGCAGCGATCACACAATCAAGTTTGGGAACCCATCGCCGTCTGGATTTGGTGCTTCTCCTGGCCAGTCGAGCGTGCGTCATGTGCGCAACTCGATCAAGCCTGCATCAGAGATGCCCGGCGCCTTTCCGGATCCCGTCTCTCCGAGCTCCCACCCGAACAAGGAGAACACGGCACCGTCTCCGCCCAAAATGCTCCCCGGGGTTCCTCACGGCATGGCCAACAAGAAGCGTCATCGCGCCGGCACGGATGAAGGAGATGCGGATAAGGAGGCAGCTGATCGTGCCGGAAAGAAGGCCAAGAGTAGCCACGTTCCGGAGGGAGAGGCTCTGCTGGCACCTCGTCTTCTCGCCACAACTCCCAGTGCCACCACGAAGAAGCCCAGTGTGATTCGCACCGTTGGCCAAACGCCTGGAGCTCGCCCCATCAACCGGAAAGTCAGCTCGGCGTCGCCTTCCAAGAAGAGACCAACGCTGAGCATGAGCCGCCTCAACATGCTCGCCCGCCCAAAGAACCGTGGTTAGGTAACCAGATGGGCGTTACGAAGGAAAATGGGGGAGCTCCCAATCAGACATGCTCCCGATCGGCTGCAGTAACTTGTCCCTTTTCTCTTTGCTTTCCACCTTGGCAAATCGGTACAACTCGTCAGGCTTTGTTCGAGGCCGGTTTACGTGGTGGCTCTCTCTCTTTGTGTTGCTGGTTCGGCGTTGGAGATGGCCTTCTTTTTGTTCGATGCTTTTGCTCATGATGAAGGAATGTCACAATTCATGATGGTTTCCGGGTTTTCGGACCACTGGTGTCTTTCACCCACAATGTTTTATACCTAGCAAGCCCCGATGCGGCTGGATATATGGCCTCTGTTATGAGAGCCGTGTTCACTTGTCTTTCTTTTTGTTTTCTGTCTTTTCTATCTCAGACTTGGCTTGGCGCTGGACAGGAATCGGGGTGGTCAGGGAAAACTGTTTTCTTTCTTTCTGTTTGAGATGTGGCGACGGGATGTCGGCTTGTGTACAAGTAGTAACGCAGTTGTTGTTAATGCCCGAGCTACCTTTTATCTATGATAGTCAATCGTGTAGCGCCTTTGTGCTTGCGTATTCCTGCGGACGAAACCGTGATGTGCGTTTGTGGTGGAGGTACGGGTGAGTTCCTAGCGATGTTTGCTTGCATGCCCCAGAGACGTGCAATGGAGGCGATTTAGAAAGCCTCACAATCGGCCAAGATGAGAGGATCAAATTCCCTTTGAGCCTCTTGAAGCTTCCTTGGCCGGGCCACATCTTGCCCTGTTATCGGGCTTTGATTCTCACATTTAACATTTGTTCTAGTATATGCCGGGTGGAATTATGATACATTTCTGCGGAAGGGTTCATACCCAAGGTTTCCAGACGTAGGCTCTGCTATCGAGATTGCTTTTCAGTTGCTATTTGCTGTGGGCCAACACCAGGGCCTTCAGCGAAGGTACATGGCATCTTTTAGCACATATGAAGTCAGAAGACTACTGAATCGTCATCCTGTCCAAATTGGAGACATCCTGGCGTCCACAGGTCCATCAGATGGTGAGGATATCGTCGCTGTAGGGTTGGCTTAGTAAGACTTCGATGGTGACTAATATCGGGACTGGAGCACCAAGAGAGCTTCCCCAGAATGGCGACACCATCACTCACCATTCAGTCTAGCAGGTCAGGCGCAATACCTTATGTAATCCAGCATTCAGCATTGAAAGCGTCCAGCACTTTACAAGGAGAGCATCACTACTTGGACATTGAGCAGTTGACGGCACGTACTGATGACGTTGTCATGATACAGTGATACCTCCTGCTGGCCACGAGGCTGCCGGCCCATTCAACGCAAGCAACCAGACAGCTCTGGGCTGCCTGCTGCGACCACATGAGCTGCGGGCGAATGAGCTCTCAGCAGCGCAAGCACGGTGTACCGGTACCTCTGCGCCTAGTGAAGTTCCAGCGGGCGGTAGCCCTAAGGTAGCTCGCCCTCAGTGCGGTGTCGTAGCTCAGCTTGTATCTCCCTGTAGCGCCAGCGACAAGAGCCACGGCAGAGCAGGCCCCCGGATGCGGCAAGGGAATGCAATGGCGCAACGCAAGAGGCATACTTCCCGCCTCTGGAGCTCGTTCGTCCAACGGTCACCTTGTAGGAGAGCAGAATAGATGAATTACACAGAAGCCGGCTTCATCGGAGAGGCGCGCAATGCCGGGCAATTGCTGCTGCGAATTTGCTGGGCTACAGCAGCTGTGTGTTAGTAGCCCCGGGCTGTGACGACGCGGTACCTGCTGCACTAACGGCCCAGCGCCCCGGAGCCCTAACAGCGTCACCACAAAATATTTCACGGGAATTAAGCGAGCCCCCCAAAAAACGAGGGTGACTAGCGCCAGTTTCGGTATTTTTTTTTTTCTTGTCTGGGAGAGAGTGGGCTTGCGCTGCCCCGGTGCTTCAGCGAAAGAGCACACAGAAGCACACACACACACACACACACAGTTCCAGTGCCCGCAATTGAGCAGCGCAGCCAGCGGAACTGCCCCCCCAAACAAGCAAGGCCTGCATCGTGCAGCCCAGTGCATTTTTTTCTTCAACTGCACCAGCAGCACAACACCCCAAGCTTCAAGGTTTGCACCTCGCCTCTGGTGCTACTCCTCCCCTTCGCCATCCCGAAGACAAACCGCAACAAGTCCGACAGGAGGGCCATGCGATCTTAAGCTCACGTCTTCCCCCACCAAGTAGCAACGACTACCCTCTACCCTCAGCGCCGCCAGGACTCTTCAGCCCTTCAGCGACCATGTCATCGCAGGTCGCCTCCCAGGTATGCCCTCCCCTTGATGCCCTTCCTCCTCGCAGAAGCAACAATGCCCGAACTGCCGTCGTCTCTGTGCCAATTCGCGGCTTGGCCCACGTCGGTGCTGCGGCCAGGCTTCGAGCTGCGAACGACGTGCATCACGTCGACAAGCCTCGCTGCTTCTGCCTCGCACTGGTCAATGGGACAGACACGCCATCATGATGATGGTGGCATCGTCGTCGTCGTCGTCGTCGTCGTCGCCGTCGCAGTATTTCGCTCGCTGGAAAGTTAGAGCGGAAGCTGGACCGCCGCTCCTTCTTCTACTGCTTATTACTCTATACCCGCTGCTCTCGATATCAATTTTGTGCTGCTGGTTGCTGACATATATCGCCTCGTTGTAGAACCGGTTCGCCTACCTTGGTACTGCCGCCCCTCCCGCAAATTTTACCTTTTGACCCTCACCCCTCCAACGGACCCCGCCGCGATGGGAAGCTTTAAGCGCAGGCCAACTGACCGAGTTTCCTACCCACTGCAGGCAACGACTCCGACGGCGAGGAGAAGCCCGTCGTCCCCGTTAAGACCGTCGACAAGGCTACCCCTCGCACTACTAAGCGCAATGTCGAGCCTCAGGCCCCCCAGGCCCCTGTGAGGACTGGCGGCAACCGCCGTGGTGGCCCCGGCGGAAACGAGGGCGGTAAGTGAACGCTGCTTGGCTGTTTGATTCGGTGCCGCTGTCCGGCTGCTGTGAGCGTCCTGATGCTGATTGCCGTCGTGCAGCTTTCCGTGATCGCGGCGCTGGTCGTGAGCGCAACCAGAACCGTCCCACCGATGAGGCTCCCCGAGATGGTCCTCGTGGTGGCCAGGCTGCCCGCGTCCGTGGAGGTGAGTAACTTGCCTTGACACGTTGTTGTCGAAGGGTTTGTAGCCTTGTTATAAGACTGGAGCTAACTTGGGACAAGGCCGTGGTGGACGATTCCCCCGTGAGCAGCACGACAGACATTACCAGAAGTCCGGTGCCGTCTCGTAAGTGTTTGCTCTTGGCTGCCTCCTCATCTGTTCGTACCATGTTGACTGATTTTCCTGTTTCAAGTGGCTCTGAGAAGCAGGCTGCTCTGTCCTGGGGTGCCACCGAGGGCAACGCCGAGCTGAAGGACGAGCAAGCCGGTGAGGCCATTGCCGAGTCTGAGAAGAAGGAGGACCAGCCCGAGGACGCCGCTGCCGAGGAGCCCGCTGAGCCCGAGGACAAGAGCATCTCTTACGCCGAGTACCTCGCCCAGCAGGCCGAGAAGAAGGCCGCCCTCGAGGCTGACCTCCGCATCCGAGCCCCCAACGAGGGCAGCAAGCTCGACAAGAAGTGGGCCAACGCCAAGCCCCTCGAGAAGGAGGAGGACGTCTACTTTGCCGGCTCCGGCGGCAAGAAGCAGCGCGAGCGTGAGCGCAAGGTGAAGCAGACTGTCGACTTCGACCCCCGCTTCGTCGAGCCCGAGCGAACCCGTGGCGGCGGCCGTGGCGGTCGCGGTGGCCCCCGTGGTGGCCGTGGCGGCGAGCGTGGCCGTGGAGGAAACTTCCGCGGTGGCCGTGGTGGCCAGCAGGCTTCTGCCTCCATCAACACCAACGACCAGTCCGCTTTCCCCAGCCTCGGTGGCAACTAGAGCGCTCACCTGTGTCTCGGCCAATGCGCCTCGAAAAGACAACCTCTCCTTGGCTGATGGATTGGGCGTCTTTGTCTTCTCATATCTAGAGAAGAAAGAAAAAAGAAGAGAAAAAAATCTCCCTTGTGTGTGGAGGACTCTTAAGCCTTTTATGTTTTGATAGTTGATCAAAAAAAAGAGAAAAAAGTTTGACATGTATTTTTCTGGACGCTTGGTTTTATTCGCTGGTGTGTTATATGGACATGTGTTGCAAATGGCCTAGGTTGACAGATGCTGTCTTGCCCCCCCTTTTTCGTTTGACTTGGGGGTTATAATGAGGCAGCCAAGTGGTTGACTTTCATCCTTTCCCCAGAAGTCAAAGGAAGACAGGACGAGAAACAGAAGAAGAAAAAAGGAAAGAACCTAAAAAGAACCACTTTACATCAATCCAAATGCCTTTTGATACCCCCCTTTTCTGTTCCCTGCGTCGGTGAATTGGCACTCTTGAGATTTTGGCTTGATAGGCAACTCATTCATGTTGGCTGATCAGCTCATCATGTTGAAACGAAACACACAAGGCAAAAATGTCAACGTGATGTTTTCTGCTTAGCCAACTTTCCTTGTCGCTTCATATTCATGATTCCGTTTCTTTGCAAAAATTTTGTGAATTGGCCCTTGTTACTATGTGACAGGACTTGATCCTCCTCAACATGCTCTTCCATATCCGTATCCCGTGTCGTATCAATGGAGTCGATGACCTTCCATAGAAACCCCATCATGCAGCTTCTTGTCAAACTCCATAAACAATATAGATAATTTTCGAAAATTCCCTTTTCAACTTTGTTCATTTCACATAAGATATTTTTACGCCTTGAGAACCTTGACGAGCTCCTCAACGATCGCATCACCCGCCTCCTTCGTCCCCGAACTGCCGCCCATGTCCTTCGTCCTCAGACCCCCGTCAATCGCCCTCTTGACGGCCTCCTCGACGGCCTTGGCCTCGTTCGGCAGGTTCAGCGAGTACCGCAGCATCATGGCCACGGAGAGGATGGTGCCGATGGGGTTGACGATGCCCTTGCCGCTGATGTCCGGTGCGGAACCTGAAATTGCCCCATCACCGTCAGTTTTCTCGTTCTCCCCCATTCTTTTCATACTTATATATATATAGTCGGGGAGGGAGTTTTTT